ATAAGCGTTAACTTAGTTTTGTTAGCTTAATGTGTTAGTTATATTGAACTTTATACTTTGTTGCTTTTTATTGTTGTTGTTGTTGTTGTTGTTATTTATTGTTGTTGTTGTTGTTGTTGTTGTTAGCATAAAATGCATGTTTAGGATTTTTGGTAAGCTGGCAGGTGGTGTAGCTGCCAAAACAGGCATTTTTTGGCAAAAATATACCAAGAAAAGCGACCAACTTTGGTCGCTAATTGGTCGCTTTTCCCTTAAAAAAAAAACAATTTTCTGGGCAATAGCGACCAACTTTGGTCGCTATTCTATTTAAAAAAAAATATTCTGGAAATATAGCGACCAAAGTTGGTCGCTTATAATTAAAAAAAAATTATTTCTTGAAGTTAGCGACCAACTATGCTCGCTTATTTTTTAAAAAAATAAAAAAAAAAGCGACCAATCTTGGTCTCTATTTTTCAGATTTTAAAATATAATATTTGGATTAGAGACCAAAGTTGGTCGTTTTTTTATGATTAATAATAAATAAATAAATAACGTATTTTACATTTAGAGACCAACTTTGGTCGCCAAAATTATATTATTAAAATAATAAAGCGACCAAAGTTGGTCGCTATGTCTTTACCCGGAATATTTGGTCCTTTTAGCGACCAACTTTGGTCCCTAAAATAAAGGGACCAGCAATATTGCGACCATGCATGTTTGGTCGCTTTTTGGTCGCTTTTAGGCTTATAAGCAACCAACTTTGGTCGCTTTTTGTGGTCGCTTTTTACCGAATTTCTAGTAGTGCGGAGGTCTAGGCAACGAGATACCAATATCTTTCAACAAGTAAGTGATCCACGTGATGTTTGCAGCCAGTGAAGCTAATGAACGATACTCAACTTCTGCACTAGACCTAGTAACTATGTGTTGTTTCTTCGAGGACCAGCTAACACAATTAGAGAAAAGGAAAACACATATGCCAGTTGTGGACCGCCGTATAATGGGGCAACCAGCCCAATCAGCATCAGAAAATCCAACCAAATTAAGAGAAGAGCGAGTGGAGATCAGCAAACCGAGGTGAGGAGAACCAGTGATGTAGCGAAGCACCCTTTTAATCCCAGACCAGGAACTACAGTTGGATGCTGCATGAATTAACATAATAAATTTACACTATGAGAGATCTCTGGTCGAGTTAGCGTCAGGTGCTCTAAGCACCAACCAAGCTGCGATATTCAGAGGCATCAACAAGAGAGCCAGTAGAGTCATGAAGGTGATGTTTCTGGGAGAGAGGAGTTGGATGAGCTCGAGCAACCAACATATCTGTGAGTTGAAGTATGGCAGTAGCATACGTGTGCTGGCTAAGAAAAAGTCCATCCTTGTCGCGATAGACCTCTATGCCAAGGAAATAATGAAGGGGTCCCAAATCTTTCGTGGCAAAGTGTGATTGCAGTGTGTATAAAATTCGAGACAAAAGAAAAGAATTGCTTCCAGTCAAGATAATATCATCGACATAAAGTAGGAGCAATATAGTACCCTCTGAAGAATGCTGAACAAACAAAGAAGAGTCTGCCTTGCTACATAGAAATCCAAGATGAAATAAATATGAGCTGAACTTGTAGAACCAATATTTTGGAGCTTGTTTGAGGGCATAGATGGCCTTTTTGAGCAGACAAACATGATTCGGGAATATAGGATTGCGAAATCTAGGAGGTTGTTCCATAAATACCTTCTCCTTGAGGTCGCCATGTAAAAAAGCATTCTTGACATTTAATTGTTTGATATCCCAATTCAAAGCAATAATAATGGACAAAACAACTCGGATTGTAGCAGCTTTCACAACTGGACTAAAGGTATCGTCAAAGTACACACCTTCAATTTGATTGTAACCTTTAGCAACTAATCGAGCTTTAAAGCGTTCCACAAAACCATCAAAATGAAATTTAGTTTTGAACATCCAGCGTGAACCAACCACGTTCATGTTAGATTTTCGAGGGACTAGTACCCAAGTTCCATTAGATCGAAGAGCTTGCAATTCTTCATGCATAGCAGATACCCGATGAGGCTTAGATAATGCTATTTTAATAAATTTAGGTTTAGTAGTATCAAAAAGTGTACAAGAAGCGAGGGACAAAGACTGAAAGGTGGGATTTGTTATAGTACTGATCTTGGCTCGTGTGAGCATATGATGTGTATTATCAGATGGTTAAGGTGCATCAGGAGGAGGGTTGGCAGGTAGTGGTGGGAGTTCAACAAAGAGATCGATGCTTGCAATATTGGATAAGTCTGGACTCGAGGAGTTTGCTCATAAACTGGAATGGGAGGATGAGCTGCTTGGGTTTATAGGACTTGCATAACACTACTAGAAATCCGGGAAAAAGCGACCGCAAAAAGCGACCAGAGTTGGTCATTATTGGGCCAAAAAGCGACCAAAAAGCGACCAAAAAGGCCTGGTAGCTATATTGATGATCCCTTTTATTTAGGGACCAAAGTTGGTCGCTAATTAGCGACCAACTTTGGTCTCTAAGCTAAATGGACCAATTTTTCCGGATATTGACTATAGAGACCAACTTTGGTCACTTTATTAATTTAATAATATAAATTTGGCGACCAAAATTGGTCTCTAAATATAGAATACGTTATTTATTTATTTATTATTAATCATTAAAAAGCGACCAACTTTGGTCTCTAATCCAAATATTATATTTTAAAATCTGGAAACTAGAGACCAATGTTGGTCGCTTTTTTATTCAATTATTTATTTATTTTATTAAACTAGCGACCAACTTTGGTCCCTAAATACATGAATTTAATTTATTTTTTAAATATTAGCGACCAACTTTGGTCGCTATATCACCAGAAATTTTATTTTTTTAATGAAATAGCGACCAAGTTTGGTCGCTTTTTGTAGAAATCTGGGTAAATAGCGACCAACGTTGGTCGCTATTCTCCAGAAAATTATTTTTTTAACATGAAAAGCGACCAAATAAAGACTAACTTTGGTCGCTTTTCTGTGTATTATTTTGGCAGAAACTGCCTGTTTTGGCAGCTACACCACCTGCCAGTCATACCAAAACCCTAACAAGCAACAACAACAACAATTCAAACAACAATTCCAATAACAATACCAAACAACAACCCAACAACAACAACAACAACAACAACACAAAAACAACATTAAAAGCTACATTAAAACCAAGAAAGTGTAAATTTCAATAAAACTACCAAACTAAGTTAACTCTTATTACAACCCAATGAAAAATAAATTGTATTTGTCTAGTTCAAATTGTCTAAAATTCATTCATTGTTTGGTACATCATTATCATCACCGTTTGATGAAGTTTCATCATCATCACGGTATTGAGAAGGGTCTACTTGTCGATGACGGGAAGAATGATCACGGGGAGGACGGGAGGAACGACCACTTGAAGGACGAGACAAACGAGCACGGGGACGGGCAGCCTCTAGCGATGATGGCCGAGACCGGGGAATCGAAAAGATCCAGCTAGGAGATTTTTGATCTGCTCTTGCATGCTCTGGCACTGAGCGACCACGCCAATATACTGAGCATCTCTAAGCTTTTCTCTTTCCTTGGACGCTTCTAGCTCGGATGTGAGCTTTGTCACAGTCTCCCGCATAGCGGAGAGGCTCTCCCCATCAAGTTGCTCGGCTTGCGAGGAAGTCCCTATTCCTTGCATTCCACACCTATACCGATGGAATGTCTTAGTAGGAAGGCCGTATACCTTCCCCCATTTTGGACCGCCTACAGCCCGCGTCCATAGTCTTTCAACATCCTCGGCCGAAAGTTGGAATGGCGCGCCTGACTCATTAGGTGGCTGGCTGCGTATCAATTCCTCAGCTTCAACTCTGAAGCGATCCTATAAGAAAAAGTAAATTGAATTAGTATTTCAAAATTTATATAAAAGTAAATGAAAATACTTAATGAAAAGTGAAAACTTACATGTACAGTCGAGGCACGTCCCTCGACCCACCTTTCTTGATTCGTCTCTTTCTTCTTCTTCACAATATGAGTCTCCATGAATAGCTCATCTTGGTTCATCGAACGGCCCAACTTCTTTTCCTGAAAACTCATAAATTTTAATTAATAAATAGAATAGATATACTTTGAAAATTAAAATAAATTAAGCAATTACGTACCATTCTTCTTTTTATTGTCCCCTGGCTGACCGCACCTCCAGTGTGCAATGATCCTCCCTTCTCAGATGCGCGAGCTTTCTTTCCCTTTTCGCTCTTCTGTAAGAACTCTACAGTAAGCCATTGCCTTTGCAAATCATCCCAAAACTCCTGAAGCAACCAGCCAGGCTTCTGGTTCAGCTGTCTAGCTATGGAGAAAGAATGCGACAACCGCTTGCGAGCTTTGAGATTAAAATTTGCAGTCACGTCCGCGCTATACTAGTGTTCCCATACACACTTGCTCATGTTTATCGGAGGTGGATAATCATATTCCAGTTTATTCTTTTTGAAAGCATTTTTCATCCTTCTAAACTCATGACCCTCAGGCAAGAATTGATGATGACAATCAAACCATGATTGCTTTCGACCATGTTTCAAAGTGAACGCTTTACTATTTTCCATGCAGTAAGGACAAGCTAGCTTCCCAGTAGTCATCTACCCAGACAACATTCCATATGCAGGAAAATCATTAATTGTCCACATTAAATTAGCACGCAAATTGAAATTCTGCTTGGTTGATATATCATATGTTTCAACACCATCGTACCACAATTGTTTTAGCTCATCAATAAAAGGTTGCAAATATACATCTATCAAACTTTTCAGATTACGTGGACCGGGGATATTACAATTTAAGAATATATATGGACTAGTCATGCACAACTCGGGTGGTAGATTATAAGGTGTAAGAAAGACAGGCCAACATGAATANTCATTGAAAATTGCCTCCTTCAGTGAGAATGGGAATTCACGCCAAGACGCATAAGGGGCATCATAAAGCTTTCTGGTTGCTTTGGTGATTATCCTCGTAGTAATATTACTCGGGAGGAACCTGCAATTTAATAAATAAAACAAATTAATATCTTAGTAAAAACTGTACAAAAAAATAAACATAAAAATAACAAATAACTCTTACCCATCACCCTCAGGGACTATGATGATCCTGCCATACTGATCATAATGCACCTCCTCGTCAGTAGCAGTAGCAGCATCATCGTCCGAAACATGTGTATCAGAGGCATGTGTGGAATGAGTAGGGGGGTCAGAGCTACTATCCCGCAAGCGAAGGCCTCCAATAGGTGGAGTCGCTGATGACGATAGATGTGATCCCTATGACTGCGACATAGCTGCACGGATCGCAAGTGGCTGTGATACTGACTGTTGTGACCCGAGTGGCTGTAACCCGATTGGCTGTGACACTGATGACTGTGATCCATGTGGCTGTGACATGGATCAATGTGATCCATGTGATGCTACTGGGCGGGATCCACGTGGTAGTGAGGCAGGTGGACTGTATGTCGGACGCACAGTCCGATGGCCCTGTGAAGAAACAC